CCTGACATCCCAGCCCACCAACTAGCCAGCCTGAGCCTGGCCACTGCCCCTCCCCAGGTAGGGACCCCAGCCAGCCCCGTGCCAGCACCGCGCTGTCCCACGCTGGCCTCAAGCTTCCCTCACTGTCCCCTGGCTCTGCCGCCCCACACCAGCCCTGTGCTGCCCTGGCCCTGTTGCCTCTGCTGTCCCAACTCTTGCTCTTGCTGTCCCCAGTGCCCCTGGCCTGCTCCCCCTTACTGCCCTCTCCTGCCCTCAGGGTGTCTGCGGATTTCCAAGGCACCCCCTGCAGGCTCCCGGTCCGCGCCCCTTCATCGCCACCCTGCGGTCCCCTGGTCCTGTCCCGTTTCTGCCTCTTCTCCCCACCCTCTTGCAGGCGCCTTCCCCTCCCCCCTCCTTGCCTTCTCCCCCCTGACCTCGCTCAGCCTCGTCCAAGTCTTGTCTCTCTGCCTCCCCCTTGGGTCCTTCTCCTTGGCTGCCGCCCAGAGCATCGCAGAGGCATAGCTAGGTGGCTGGCACCCCAGCTTCTAACGGCCCTGGCCCTTCACTGCAAGTCCCAGGAGCACCCTCTACTCCTGCCTGCCTCGTCCTGCCAGGCAGCGCCTCACTCTGGGGCTTTGTGCCCGGCCCAGGTCGGGGAGGATCTCAGGGCGCCCGCCGGGCACAGCACCTGGGAACAGTCCCCAGCTGCCTGATATTCTTCACTCACCCACAGGCTAATGCCCTGCCTCTACTTCCTCCTGGGCAACGTGTGGGCAGGTCGAAGGAGCCCTCGCTGCAGGGGCCCTGAGTGGGGCTGCCTGGGTGGCTGAGTCTTGTCTGTCCCCAGAAGCCCCTTAGATTGGGACTCACAATGGGCAGGAGAGGGGAAGGGAAGAAAATCAGGCAACTGTGTCGTGTTCCCTGGGACAGACTTGGCTTGGAGTCCTTGAGAGGAAGCAAGAGAGAACGGAACTATCTGGGTGCCCCCGAGTGCCCTGGAAGGTTGGGGGAGGGGAGCGCCCTCTCTGCTCCGTGGGCGGGGTGGGCCGCTGGTGAGCGAGGGCTGCCCGCGTTGGTTCTGCTGAGCTGCGCGGGAGGCCCCGGGTCCTGCAGGACAGGGTGGCGGGTGGGGCAGGCGGAACACATCCTGCTAAGCCACTCAGGTCCCATCCTCAGGGGGCTCCTGCCTCTGTGCCCTCACCCCTCCCTGGCCTGCCGACTCTTCCCCGTAGTGACTGATTGGGACTGAGGCAAGCTGGAGGTGCTTGGGGCCTTCCTCCATGCCATGCTAGGAAGGTTCTCAGGGACCGGCATCCATGGGTGCAGGAAAGCGCCTCTTGGCAATATGCAGCCTCCTGGGCCTGCCACACCCTGGGAGAGCTGGTGTGCGGGCAGGGGTGCCTTCATGTGGAACATGCCCATGTATGGCTACTGTGGGCCAGCGTGGGTGAGCCTTTGGGGGCAGGCCTGTGTGGGTGTATTGAAAGGAAGCCACAGGGCTGCCTCCAAGCCATGGGGGCTGAACAGCAGGAGCAGGATGTGAGCCAGGGAGCAGAGAGGGCTGTCGTGGGCAGCTGGCCAGCTGGGAGTGGCAGCCCTAGGCTCCCTGGCCACTTGCCCACTGGCCCACCTTCGATCCCCAAGGACCCGAGTCACCATGGGCATTAACCTTCCCACCATTTCTACACGCTGTCCCGGATGAGGGACCAGGGTTCCCACTGTGTAGATAGGGAATCTGAGGCCCAGCCCCTTTGCACCAGTTCTTTTTAGGAGCTCATAGAGTCGGGGTGCTGGCCCCCTGACCATCGTGAAGGGTGACTTATGAGCATTGGCGCAAACCTCTCCCCAACCCCACCAAGAGCCCACAGCTGTTGATCCCAGAGGAGGGATATGTAATGAACCCACACTTGACAGTTCACACCCAGAACCTCCCCAGAGGGCTTCTGGTTCCTTGGCACCCTGTGCAGGGGGGGGTGGGGACAACGCAGCAACAGCATGTCCCAAGAGTCACCCCACAGCCCCAGCCTTAGGGACCCTGATGAGATACCTGCCAGGGCCCCTCACCTTCCTTGCTCACCCCAACAGCCCCGATTGTTAGCAAGGTCTTCCCACACCCACCAAGACCCCCTCCCACTCTCCCTGCCCTCAGCTTTCAAGCTGGCTGCTGAGCCCTGACAGCCCTGCAACCCCACTGGTGGGAGGGGGACGCCCCAGCCCAGGGCCCTCGCTCACACCGAAGGGCTGTGGGGGTGATGGTGGCTGTCCTTGGCACCCTGGCATGGGCTGTGGGGTGCAGAAAGGGCATGGGCTCCCTCCAAAGGCAGGCCAATCCTGGGGCTCTGCCTCTCCTCCTCATCAGCTGGGATCTGGGGGGGTCAGTATGTCCCCAGCCCCCATCCTCTTCTGCTCAGACACTGAGCTGGGGGAGATCAGGGCCCACACCTCAGCCACCCCCAGAGCCCTTTCTACAAGTCTTAGAGGGACTTGGGGGAGGGGGGCGTGCAGAGGGGGCTGCCCCTGGCCTGAGGCCTGCCCAACCTAACTGGCCTGCCAACCTATGGCCAGGCTCCTCTCCAACCTTCCAGAAAGAACCAGCTTCCCAGTGCTCCCTGGGGAAGGCGTGGGGCTGGCTCCTCTGGGGGTGGGGACTGTGCTTGGTTCCCTGTTCCCCTTCCAGGCTGGCAGGTCCTGGAGTGAAGGCCCTTCCCCAGTTGGAGCCCACAGCTAGAGGGCTCTCCAGACCTCCTTCACCACCTCTGGGACTCCACGCTTCCGGAAACCACCCTAGTCCCCCTTCCCCACACTGTTTGCCTTCTTCCCGTCATTGCTCTGAGTTGGAGCATCCCCCAGGGTAGCCATGAAAGGGTCTCTTGCCCAGAGCCCACTGGCCTCAGCTCCCTGCTTCCCACCTGCTCAGTTCCAACCCCAGCCTGCCAGCCAGGCCCAGTAAATGTGCCCACCCCTCCCCCTGGTGGTGCATATCTCAGATTTAGGGACCCGAGGGCTCTAACCCAGCCTCCTTGCACCGAACTCTCCTGAGCTCAGCAGAAACACCAGCCTGGGCTGAGCAGCAGGATGAAGGGTGGGGGCTACGAGAGGTCCCGGATGTTCCCAGTCTCCCCAGCCTGGGCGTGGGCTAAGCCCGGACTCCACGGGACTCTTGAATTGGTCCCTGCTTCTCCCCCACAAACTGGCAGGTGCCCCAGCCCTGTGTGATTCTGTAGGGGGCGGATGGCCAAGAGGAATATAGTAGGCAGAGGCCCAGGTGGCCACAGAATTAGGGATTTGGTGACCAGAGGTCAGACTTGAAGGAGAGGGGCAGAGACAGAGGAAGCCCGGGAGGCGAGTGCAACTTTTATCCTCTCGCAGACTGAGTCCCTCTTGGCCTTGACTGCCGTCCCATGGCCTCAGATGCTTCCTGGCTGCAAGGAGGCACACAGCTGTGGGAACCCTAGCCGCCCTGGGAGACCTGAAGATGAACAGGCTCCTGGGCCTCCAGGCAGGCCAAAGAGGCTGCAGCTCACCCCAGCCAGAACCCCTAGCCGAGAGTGGGGACTGGTGCAGGGGAGGGGCTGCAGGAAACCCTGGGCCCGGGAAGAGAAGGGCTACACGGTCTCCCCTTCGGCCTCCCCGCCAGGTGCCTGGCAGCTCTCCCTTCCGGGGGCAGGCCAAGCCCCCTTGCCTTGGCCAGCTGGACAGGGGAAGGAGGCAGGCACAGGCCCCCAGGCTCTGTGGGCCACGTCAAGAACACCTCCCCTGGGGCCCCCAAAGGGCTCAGAGGCAGCTCCCTGGCCCAGCTGAGACACGGCCGCTGTAGGAGATCGCCCTGCAGACGGCTGTGGAAGCAGCAGGGTTGGGGCTGGCCTGGTGGGTGCGCTAGGGCTGAGGAGGGGCTCCTGGCTTCATGGCCAATGGGGAGCAACTGACAGTGGCAGCCAAAGAGAAGTGCCATGTTTCTAGGCGGTGGAGGGGGTGAGCTGCAAAGGAATCTTCTCTTGCAACTCCAGGGGCTGGCCGAGCCGCTGCAAAACCCAGGGAGTGCGGGCCCTCTCAGCTTTGGGGCCTACAATGACGTCTCCAACGGCAGAGGGCAGGGCCAGACACATGGGTGGGTAGACAGGCGACAGTGCAGTCCCAGCTCTGCCATTTCTTCACTGTGTGGCCTTGGGCAAGAGTTCTGGGCAAAGTGTGGGCCTCGGTTTACCCCTTCATCAAGTGGTAGAAGCATCACTTCCTTCTTATGGTCAACAGGTGGACTAAGTAAAGAAATTACTTGAGTCCCTTGTCCCACCCTTGGGAAGTGACAGCCTATACTCACACGTGGCAAGAAGGAGCCCAGGATTTCTTCAGCAAGTGGGAGGAGAAGGGAGGGTGTGTGGCCCAGGCACAGAGGGACCAAGAAGCTCAGGACCTCCAGCTGAACAGGGTCATCTGCTGTTCGACTCCTTTCCAGAGGTTTCTGGCAGCGTGAGACAGGGGTCAAAAGCTCCCCCTTGATGTGCCCAGCCACTTCACCACCTCCCCAGTGCCAGCCTCTTGCAGCCTCCAAAGGTCCAGCCTGTTCCCAAAGTCTGCTAGAACGCAGGACACAGCTCTGTCCACTCAGTCCAGCCGTGCCTGGGCCACTGTGGGAAGGAGCCGTCCTGGCCAGCCACACTCGGGCATTTGTTCCCCTTACAGTGTGAAGGGCACAGAGGCAGTGGAGGTGGGCTCAGGGTGTGGCCCTCTGCAGCCACCCCAACATACGCACACACGCATGGGATTTGCAGAGCCGTGGGTAGTACACGTCCCGTCTCTGTAGTCGACACCCACATGTAGGCTGGAGAAACCAGGGGCAAGCGGGCTGGGGCCTGGGAGGGCAGAGAGAGCAGGCCGTGTTTCAGCCTGGGCACGAGTGCCCACCTGCTGGTTGAAGCTGGGTCTGGAGGGCTTTGGTGGCCAGAAGGGAGGGAGGATGGGTGCAGTCCCAGGAACCTGGCAGGGCTGGGTGGAAGGCGGCACACGTGTCAGAGTTCAGGTCGGGTTGCCTGGTGGGGCCAGACACCCCGGGCTGAGGCCATGGAGACAGCACCCGGCGTCTGCTACTTGGCAGCCATGAGCCACACATCTGCAGGCGAGCTCCCAGGGCCCGCCAGACCTCAAGTCCTGCTCCTGCCGCCTTTGGCCTGGCCTGAATGCCTGGCACAGTCCTTCCATGTTCTCAGAGGCTGCCAACGCGTCTTGTTTGGCTGTGACCTGGAGCAATCCTGCACGGAGGACTGCGCTGGCTTTCAGAGGGGCAGACAAGGAAGGCCCTATTGGGGTGGCGGCGGAGGCTCCAGGAAGCCCAGCCTCTTCCCTCGCTCACACCTGCGGTCGCCAGTCTCCCTTTTGCTCAGAGCACGCTTTGATGGGGCTTGAGGCCTCCCTGAAGTCCCTCCCCGAAGTCCTTGGGGACATGCCAGGGAGACTGATGAAGGGAAATTGAGGCCCAGAGGCCCCAGCGCTGGTGAGGAGGTGGGGACAGGAGGGACTTGCTGTGGGTCTCACAGTGTCGGTCCATGTGGAACTGCCACTTCCTGGGCTGCCACCCTGCCTGCCTCCTCAGTGTGCGTGCACGTGCGCATGTCTACACCGTGGTGGGGCTCAGTGTTATCTACAGCAACTCCCCCCCCCCCACACCAGACTCCAGGGTTCCTCCCCCAGGCTCTCAGCATTGCCCAGAGGCCACCCCAGCTCCCTGTGGCTGAGGGGCGGCTAATGAAGGGTAGGGTAGGGCCGAGGCCAGATGGCTCCTGGGCTGAGAGTTCAAGGTCTGGAGTCGCCAGAGTTAGTCCAAGTCTCAGGCTGAGTGACTTGGAGAAAGTCAGTTCCTCTCTGTAGGCCTCAGTTTTTGCATCCATAGAATGAGAATACTAATTGTGCCAGCCGCAAGGCAGCCCTTCTCCTGGGCTCCTCTGGCTCTGTGGGGGTCCCTTGCTGCCTCCTGTGGGCTCAGTTTCTGCCCTGCCCCCTCCCATGCAGAGTTCTGTGCACTGAGTCTTGTGCCAGGAAGCCCGCCTGCCCCCCCCCGCCTGCTGCTCGTGCCCAGCCATGAGCCATGGAAAACCAGCCCCTTGGGGGCCCCCAGACTTACTAGATCATCAGGCATGGCTGCTCTAAGCTGGTGCATTTCCTCTAGAGCTCACGTGCCCCCGGGGCTCCTCCCTTGAGCCCACCAGGGACCCCAGTGACCAGTCTTGTCTTGACTGGCCTTCGCAGCGCCTGTGTCCTCTCCTCTGGTGGAGCGGACCCGCCACCCTAACCAGCTGCCCACCTTTCCAGAAGTGCCCACACAGGCTAATATGTGGGTCCTGGCAGACCCCAGGCTGGCCACAGGTAGATGGTCCTCTGCCGCCCCCCAACCCCCGTCCTCCCCAGCATCGGGCGGGCTGGGAGAGGCCTGTCTGCACCAGCCTGTCCCCACAGCTTCCCCTGGGCCTAGCCGGACCATCCCCCGCCCCCCACCTGTGCAGGTGGACCATGAATCCAGAGCCTTCCATGGCTCCATCTGGGCGTTCCAGCCCTGACTCATCCCCCTGTGAGGTAGTGGCTTTGGCAGGGGGCGGGCAGTCTCCTCCCCTCTCCCATTCCATCTTGCTTTCCTGCCTTCACCCTCCCCTTCCTGCTCCCTCCCACTGCTCCTCCTCCTGCTCCCACCCTCGGACGTCCAGCGGCACCCTGGCAAGGGCCTGCACGCGGCAGCAGGCACGGAGGCCCTGCCCTGCCCTGCCCTGCCCCGCCCTGCCCTGCCCTGCCCTGGGGTTGCACACGGGGGAAGGAGAAAGCCAGCGCTGTCCAGGTAGGCGAGCTCGGGGCCTTCCACCTACTCAGGGGCCAGGGCCTCATGGGTGCTGCCTCGAGTCCTGCTGGCCCTGGGGTGAAACTGTGGGGTCTCAAGGCTCAAAGGAGCGAGGGAGGCTGGGTGCTCCCCCAGCAGGGGCCTTCTGTTGACCCCAGGGTCAGCACCAAGTTCAACTGTCCACATGAGATGGAAACTGAACTAAGCCTTGGGCTCTGCACCCGACTTTGCTGTGTGACCTGGGGCAATGGGCTCAGGAGGGCTGTGGGGTCTGCTGGGGAAGGGGACTCTGGGGCCAGCTCCAGAGGGTGCTGCACTCCCTCCGTAGCAGCTGCAGCCCCACGGCAGGCCCCTCTGTCTGCAGGTATAGATGGGGCCAGGGCAGGCCACAGGAGCCACTCAAGAGGGGGATCCAAGCAGATGCCTCCCCAGGGGGCCTGAGGAGCACCGCAGGGGCAGCAGGACAGGCCTCCATCCCAGCCTCCTCCTGGGATCAATGGGAGCCGGAGGAGCACACCCCCAGGTGCACCCGAGGCTGGGAGGCAAGCAGGCCAGGGAATCGGGGAGGTGGGGTCCTAGGAGAGGTAGGGTGCATTCTGGGCTGCTGTGCAGAGCAGCTCCTGGACGGGGGCATTGTCTGATGCAGGAAGAAGGAGCAGGCAGATGTGGGCGCGGGGGCAGGCTCAGGCAGGGCAGCTTCCATAGCCCCACCCCACCGCCTCAGCCTGGGGGGCCTCCAGACAAGCCCGACCCTGCCCCACACCTGGCAGCTAGTGCCTGCTCCACTCAGGGGGCCTCCCAAGGGGGCCCAGGTTGTGGGCACGAAGGAAGGGCAGGAGCAGATCTGGGAGCCTTGGGGCTCGGGCCCAGGCAGGGGGAGGCTGGTGGTCCGGAGGAGGAAGCCAAGTCCCCCAGGAGCAGGGCCTCGGCTCAGGACTGCCTCGGCCGATTCCACCCCCAGCCCCAGAGACTGCCCCTCTCCTACCCAGCCTGCCGCCCGTGCCTCGGAGAAATGTGGGCATGGTGGGAGGGGGACTTGGGCAGGGAAGGACATGACCCATGGTCGCCTAACTCAACTGTGTGCACCTTGCCCTGAGCCCAGAACTCTGGGGAGGACTTGGCGCAGGTGGCCAGAGTGGCATCCTCGGAACTAAACTCAGAGCTTCCCCTCCACCTCCTCCACTCAGCCTCCCTGACCCACACCCCACCCCAAGGTAGGCTGCTGGCTGACTCAGTGGCGTGGGGGCTGCAGACTTGCTAATTGGGAAGACACTGTATTGCTCAACGAGGCCAAGTATTTCCTGCGGGTGAGGGAGCGACAGGAGGTGCCCTCCTGGCCAGCAGCGCGCCCCCCATCCTGCCTGGTGCCTCCTGCCCATGCCCCCTCCCTCTGCTGCCTCCCGCCCCAGGGCCTGGCTGTCCCTAGTGAGGGATGTGGGACACAGTGCCAGCACACACACACACACACACACACACACACACACACACACACACACACACACCCCGGCCCCTGGTGCTGGGAAGATGGGCAGGAAAGAGCCCAGGGCGCAGGGGCTGATGACGGCCCCTCCTTGCCGTGTCTCGCAGGCGTGTCCACCATGCGATCCCTGTGGCTCCTCGCAGCTCTGCTGGCCCTGAGCCAGGCCCTACCCTTTGAGCAGAAGGGCTTCTGGGACTTCACCCTGGACGACGGGCTGCTCATGATGAACGACGAGGAGGCTTCGGGTGCCGACACAATCTCGGGCGTCCCGGACCTGGACTCCCTCACACGCACCTTCAGTGCCATGTGTCCTTTCGGCTGCCACTGCCACCTGCGGGTTGTTCAGTGCTCTGACCTGGGTCAGTCCCTGTGCAGTGGGTGGCGAGGGATTCAGGAAGGCACGTGCCCAGCCTCAGAGCCCCTACTAAGGGGAACACACGTCCATCCTATGAGATGGGCATGAAAGGGTGGGGGCAGGGATGGAGAAAGCCCACACAGGCTTGGCATCATGCTGTGGGGGCGTGAGGGTGTCCAGCTGTCTGGATGCAAGTGAGTGAGGGGTGAGCAGAGCCTCTGTCCGCAAGCTCTGGAGCTTGCACCCATTTGTGGCAGAGTCTCTGTGTTTGTGTCAGTGTCCCTGTGTGTGTGTGTGTCCCTGGCCCTCCACGCCAGTGGAGCTAGTAGGCTGGGTGGGCCCATGCTCACACGGGTGACAGTGGCTCTGGACCCAGGTCTGAAGGCTGTACCCAAGGAGATCTCACCTGACACCACGCTGCTGGACCTGCAGAACAACGACATCTCTGAGCTCCGCAAGGATGACTTCAAAGGTCTCCAGCACCTCTATGTAAGTCCCCCCGCCCACCCGCCTCTCCTGCCTCACTGGGTCCTTTCTGAGCAGCTAGGAGGAGTCAGGAGGTCTGCAGCTGGGGGTGTGCGTCCAGATGGGTGTGTGTGCATGTGCGTATGGGGTGTGCGAGGACCTCGGGGACCCGTGGAGTCCTGAGAGGAGTCGAGCTAGCCCTGGTGGAGCTCCCTGGGGGTTCCTTCCCATAACACAAGAAAAACCGACTTCATTGTAACCAGTGTACAAGTAGGGAAACTGAGGCTCGTAGAAGCGGTGTGCTGTGCTGGGCAGCAGTGCATGGCTGGGGCTCCCTCCCCTGCACTCTGACCTCCCTGAGGCTGAGCCGGACTGGGCTGTGGACGGCAAGCTCAGGAAGCAGCGCACAAGGGAGAGAAAGGGCAGAGAGGCGGCACGCTCACCTCCGTGTCACCTGCCTCAGGCCCTCGTGCTGGTGAACAACAAGATCTCGAAGATCCATGAGAAGGCCTTCAGCCCCCTGCGGAAGCTGCAGAAGCTCTACATCTCCAAGAACCACCTGGCGGAGATCCCCCCCAGCCTGCCCAGCTCCCTGGTGGAGCTCCGCATCCATGACAACCGCATCCGCAAGGTGCCCAAGGGCGTGTTCAGCGGGCTCTGGAACATGAACTGCATCGGTGAGTGCGGCCCCCACCCGGCGCTGGGCCATCCGGGCAGAAGCCTGGTGGGCAGGCCGGCCCGGTGGCGCACTGCTACAGTGCTCCGCTTGGGAGCACGGTGGCGCTCCCGCCGAGGGTTCGGA